CTCCAGTCTGGGCGACAGAGTGAGACTCCAACTCAAAACAAACAAACAAACAAAACAAAACAAAAACTATTAAACAAATTGTTGGAATAAGACTTTTATTTACAAAATCAGGTAGGTAGCAGGTCAATGCTAGCCCCTGGGCCATAGTTTTCCAACCTATTTTAGAGCAATTGTTCTTTAGACTTAAGTGTGCATTAAAATCATGTGGGAGTTTTATTAAACCAGAGATTGCTGAGATTCACTTACAGATTCACTGGTATCTGATTTAGTAGGTTTGGAGCAGAGTGTGAGAATTAGTATGTTTCCATGTCTAACAAGTTTTCAGGTGATGCTGGGAATCATACTTTGAGCAACACTGTTCTGGGGGTGTTTGTTAATCTTTTCTTACATAGCTTTAAGACACAGTGCTCTCCTTGATTAGTCTTTCAATGTTTGTTTTGGTTTGGTATTTTTTGAGTCTTTTCTTACTCTGTCACCCAGACTTGAGTGCAGTACATGATCACCACAATCACAGCTCATGGAAGCCTCAACCTCCTGAATTCAGGTGATCCTTCCACTGTAGTCTCCCAGGTAGCTGGAACTACAGGTGTGCATCACCATGCCCACTTAATTTTGTTTGTTTGTTTTTGTTTAGATAAGTCTTATTATATTGCCCAGACTGGTCTTGAATTCCTGGGCTCAAGCAATCTGCCCGCCTCTGCCTCCCAAAGTGTTTGAATTATAGGCATGAGCCACCACAACCAGCAGTCTTTCAATTTTTATTATGGGATGTTTCCCAAGAATAGTAACCTGTATTCCCTTGTATCTTACACTTGCTGAGAGTCATTTTGGTTACTTTTATAGAAATTAAATCCAGACTAAGTCCATTTTATTTCAATGAAAAGTACTGAATTAACTATCTTTTTGTGATAGTATAACTAATGATGCCAGAGAAGATGAAATGGAAGAAAACCTGACTCAAGTGGGCAGTATCCTGGGAAATCTAAAAAACATGGCCCTAGACATGGGCAATGAGATTGAATCTCAAAATCGACAAATAGAACGGATCACAGAAAAGGTAAAAACTTTTTATTGCAACAAGAAAATCAGACATCTAATCCAGTGTTGTAGTAATGGACATCTCTGCTAGACACTTTGGGGGACATAGTAGGATAAGATCCTATTCTTACAGTTCTCACAGTTTTGTTTTGTTTTTGAGTTGGAGTCTCAAGGCTGAAGGACAGTGGCATGATCATGGCTCACTGCACACTGTAGGCTTGACTTCATGGGCTCAGGCAGTTCTTCCACCACAGCTCCCTAAGTTGCTGGGATTACCAGTGTGTGCCATCATGCCCGGCTTAATTTTTGATTCTTTGGTAGAGACAAGGTCTTGTTATGTTTCCTAGGCTGTTCTCAAATTCCTGGGCTCAAGTAGTCCTGCCGCCTAGACCTTCCAAAGTGCTGGGATTACAGGCGTGAGCCACCGTGCCTGACCAGGTCTTGATGAGGTGGCATTTCTAACATAACCAACTTGCTCATGGCAGTTGGTTTATTTTGAAACCACAGCCTTGGAATGAAGTGGTTTTACTTAGTACCTACTCTAGTCTTTGAGTGTGCTTTTATTCACCTTGAATAAGTAAATTCGCTTTTGGAGTTTTGTTTTGTTAACCAGTAACAAATTAGTAAATTCCTGAATTCTCATGAATAAGTGAAAATCAGTTCGGCAGAATGGTTCTTGTGGAGTAGATACACAAAATATAGTCATGCAAAGGAAGGGAAATTATGATTCTTATTTTTTTTACTTCACATAACATAAAATATACTGAAAATGAAATTGTTTTCAGTGTTTGTATGTGTCACATCTAAAAGTCATACTTCATTAAGAACTCAGTGTCAGCTGGCCTCGGTGGCTCAGCCTGTAATCCCATGCTTTGGGAGGCCAAGGTGAGTGGATTGCCTGAGCCCGTGGGTTCGAGACCCGCCTGGG